GACCTTCTCAGTGTTGCCTGGCCACCTTCGCTGGAAAGGGCTTCCTGCCGTGTCTTGTGGCGTGGTTCCTGGAGACCAGAGCAGAGCTTCCTACTACTGCCATACCAGCATGATGGCGCCAAAGGACCCTGCTCTGCGACTCAGCTTCCTCCGAGGGATGACTCAAGTCCCACTCAGCCAGCTGCCATAGTGACAACCAGCCGGCTGCTGACAACCCCAGGCCAGGATGAGGCTTCTGCAGCACTTAGCGGCTCCAGTCTGGAGTGGCTGATAGAGGGACTTTCCAGATAGGCTTTTCCTTTTAGGGTGTGGGAGCCCCCCATCCTACTGGAATGTCTTGAGTCAGCCTAGAGCCTCATCCTGGGGGCTGAAGACTCATGAGTCATGTGCTCATCACCATGGAAACCAGCAATAGGCTGGGGTGGCAGAGCTGACAGGGTGGTGAAGGCTGTCGGATGAGCACCCCACTGGATGAGAAGCCCGTGAAAGCAGATCATTAATGTAAACATTAGCCCTGAAGGTCTTGGGGTTTGGAGAGGGGGAAAACTGGTGAGGGACCCTCCAGCCACCTGCTCTGTCTCTCATTCAGGATGCTTTTGAGCCAGGCTTATCCCAGAATTCTAGAGGGCGTTTTCTGGAAAACGCAGGCCCCCTTACACGAGCCCGTATTAGTCACATAGCAGAACACTGCCACAGGTCAGAGAATTGTCCCCACAAGAAGGCAGTGTCCCCAATGCACAACTCGAAGTGTTCCAGAAGGCTGCACCCCAAGAGCCAGGACCTTGGGTGGTGGATGTCTGTGTTCTCAGCACCCAGCACATACTGACCCAACACAGTGCTCAGCCTAGAAACTCTAGTGCCAAACCCACCTTGTTAGAACATGGCCGGAGAGTAGCACCCAGGCGAGACAGCAGTGGGTCCCTCATTCCTGGCCAGGGCTCTCAGGACTCTTTAATATCTCTCTAATGAGAGTAATTTGGCAACAGCAGAAAACACGCTCTAACCCTTTGTCCCAGTAATTCCATTTCTGGGAATCCAGCCTAAAGAAATAATCCTAAATATAGGCTAGAAAAACAGGCTTCACGAGGGTGTTCACTTCAGAGTTGTTTATCGCTCATGCAAAGCAGAACGGCGGTTCTGTCAACGGCAGAAAGGGCGGGAGCAAGAGAAACTCGGCGTGGGTGCTCATAGGTACAGCACAAGCAAAGTCTTTGATTGGAGACTCAGCCAAAAAAAAAATAAAAAAAATATATATATATATACACACCTATATATACATGTACATATATGTATATATATGTTTAGGGCTGGCGAGATGACTCCGGGTAAAGGCGGCAGGCTTGATGACCTGAGCCTGATCCCTCGGTGGAAGGAGAGAATTGACTCCTACAAGTTGATTGCCACATGCTGCATATAAACCGTGTGTGTGTGTGTGTGTGTGTGTGTGTGTCTGTGTGTCTGTGTGTGTCTGTGTCTGTGTCTAAGAGACCTTGTTTTACAAGCCTAAGGACACGAGTTTGAATCCCCCAACTTTCATGTGAAGGCCAGGCATGGCAGCACACACCCGTGACTCCAGTGTCTCAGAAGAGACAGGTTGAGCCCCCCGTAGTGCAGAAGCCAAATCGGTCTAGACAAAGGCAGGCCAGCTGCAGATTTAGTGAGACCCTGACTCAAGGGGGGTGAGCAGAAACTGATAACTTTATCACGGGGCACCCGATGTCCTCTGGCCTCTGTATAACCTGTGCGTGGCGCATGTACACAGCACACATACACAGATGCAGAGTTTCATGTACTAAACATTAAAATAAAAAACCTGTATTGGGATATTATTGAATGTCTGTGTGTGTGTGAGAGAGGGGGAGGGAGAGATGGATGGATGGATGGATGGATGGATGGATGGATGGATGGATGGATGAGGAATTGAACCTAGATTCTCGAACATACTAGCCAAGCTGTCTTCCTCTGCGCTACATCCCTGGCCCCTTACATTTTATATCGTGACCATCTCACCTGCCTAGGCTGGCCTTGAGCTCACCCTGTAGTCCTGACAGGTCTTGAGTTGGTGGGCTGGCCTCAGCCCCCTGGGTTTATAGGCTTGATTCCTGAGTGATCTTGATTTGATTTTATCCACGAGCTTAGACTCTGTCCCTCACCTTCCCACGCTGCATTTGTTAGTCAAGTGTGAGTTGTCACTTACATGCAGTGACATCCACCCAATAGTGTGCAGCCCCAGGAGAGCCGATGGATGGTGCTACCACCGTGAGGGACAGCCGTTTGGGGTGAGCTGGTTCCAGATCACCCCAGCAAATATACCCTGCCTCCCATGAGCCCAGTCCACCCTGTCTGACTCGATACAGACCCAGGATGTGATAGCCACCCATCTGATTCCACCAGGGATTTTGTGGATGCCAGGGTACCCCAGAACCTTGCACTGTGAGCCTGATTCTAGAAAGCCTGTAATCTCTTAGTTGTGCCTGAGAGCCACATCTTCCATTTCCCCTTGGTGGTGGAAGTCTTGGTTGTCCTATTTTCTGATTCACTTCTTGTCTGCTGGTGACTCTGGCTCCTGTGTCACGATTGCTGTGGGTAGCATAGTCTCAGTGGATGTGACACATCTGTCCCCACATGTCTTTGAATTTCCCATCCTGGTGAGGACCCTCTGGGCGCGGAGGCATCAACATAGCTTAGCCTGCAGTGACCACAGAGGAACCTTGTATGCAGAGGAGAACAGAGACCAGAATCCTTTGTACCACACCACTTTACCCGTCTGTTGTGTTCTACACTAGTGTGCCAACGCGGCACCCAATTCTTCTGTGTTACTACTGTGGTCCAGGCCCTGGTCAGTCATCTTGGATTCCCAGTGGCTCCATTGTGTCCCCAGATTCCATAGTAGAATTGCTCATCCTGTCCACTAAGTCCTCTTCTTCTGGGCTTAGGTATTCCTCGTCCTCCATAAGTGCTGGGCACCCTTTTGGTTTTGGATACACAAACTTGTTAGGTAGCCCAGGCTAGCCCCATATGCTCGTCCCTCTTGCCTCTGCCTTTTGAGTGCTGGAAGCACAGGTGAGCCTCAGGATGTCCGGCTTGGGCAGGTGTCTTGAGGAACACTTTGTCTTCGAGTTTGAGGTAGAGAATGCTGGAGATAAACTATAGTCATTCCGTCAGTCTCTTCAGTATGTTCCAGATGCGGAGCTAAGTAAGCCCTTGACAAATTAGATCCCCTGGGATATTCTTCGAAATTCTGTTTATGAAATTACCATCAGAGGAACCAGGTTCAGAGAGGTGCTGTAACTGTCTTAGTGACACACAGTAAGAGATTCAAACATAGGTCTTAATGGTTCTGAAGACTGCTTTGGGCCAAGTGCTGAGTCAGACAGTGGAAAAGCGATCGATCCAGCTTTTTAAAAAAACCAATGGGTGCTTATTTATTTATACCCAGCCTTTTCCCAGAAAGCCTTGCTCACAGCTTCAGCTACAAGCTGCTTTTGGGCAGCCAGGCCAGGTTATAGGATGGAAATGGCCTGCAGCAACCTCCATGTACAGGGGCGGTGTGCACAGGTGGACACTGCTCTGTGGGTCTTGCCGAGGAACGGTGCACAGGAGTGAAGGACTTGCGGCCAGCCATCTCCCACCATCACTGTCCTTCTGACTCTGTTCTTGGTGGCTTCGGTGATGCTGCTAGAATTTCCTGTAGCACCTTCCCCTTGGGGATAAAGTCCCTAGAAGTGCTACCTGCTATCTAAGCTGCACCTGACCTCTTCCCTCAGCTCTGTCTCTTGCTACCCCTCCCACCCCCGCCCCAGGCCTTTGCATTAGCCTTGAGTTCATGCTATGGTCCCATCGCCGCGCCCCATTCAATACTCTGTCCTCTCTAGCCCCTCCCCCATACTTACTTTTTTTTTTTTTGGATGTTCTGTTTGTTGTCTGCTCACCCCGTTGGACTCCAATTTTATGCAATACCCACCACGACCCCTAGAATATGCCAGAAGCTCAGTGGATACCTGTTGAGCCAACCTACATTGGTCATTCACTTTATTTCAGGCGAATGACCACCCGCACCAGGGAGGCTGAGGCAGTTTAGCGTCAGCTCTCCCCACTGCCACTCCCTGTCAGTTGGAAAAGAAAAACAACAACAAAAAAACGATCAGAGGCCTAAGTGTCTGTGGTAAAATCCTCCCAGGGCCTTCGTGTTACAGCATAGCACAGTGTACAAATTAATTTAGTCGTAGCTATGGGAAGGTCACAAGACCTGTGTGCTCCACGGATGGCCCTGCCACCTCCTCGCTAAAGTCATTGTGAAATCCCACTCCTGGAGTTCCTGGTGCTGTGTGTGCATGAGAAGGGTCTGTGGGAGGTTGGCTGTACCTCTTTACTGACTCTCCTGACCTCTGGAATTTTGGAGGTGGGGTGTTAAAGACCCTGGCAGGGCCGTGTGTCCCCCTGATGCTCCTCTGAGACACTGGGACCCTCTTAGAGGCAGTGTGGATGGATGGCGTTAGGTCTGTCTTGCCTTCCCCCATCACTGATCGATGCTTGCCTCTCTCACGCTTTCTCTCAACACACGCTATTGAGCCATGTGGTGGTCCAGGCGCCGAAGAAAGACAGCTTGTGCTCTGTGTGGACTTCCGGGGTGAGGAAGCAGGATGGGTCAGAGGTCCTGTCAGGAGGCTGCTGTAGGGAGTGACCTCCATGAATGAGATGGACCCCCTCAGAGCCTTTGAGGGAGGATGCTCTGAGGAGAGGGATGCTGAGATTCAAGCTCTGCCCTGTGCTGGCTTCTGTGGTCACCAGGGCATGATCTTTCACCCTTGACCTGAGGGTTCCCTTGCCTGTTCTTCATTCTGGACCCTTGGTGGGGAATGAATTACCTCCACAGCCCCTCCCCGCAGTGGGATGCTGGCAGCCAAGAGCTGGTCCTCCCTTTGGTCTCTGGGTAGCTTCATTTCTGTGTTTCATACCGTCTGCTCACCAGTTCTTGTTTTTCTCTCTCTTTGGTACAGCCGTCTGGGTACATGGAAAACTCGGTCTCCTACAGCGCCATTGAAGATGTTCAGCCGCTGTCCTGGGAGAATGCCCCGAAGTACTGTTTACAGCTCACGATCCCCGGAGGGACCGTCCTGCTGCAGGTAAGAAGAGTAAGCATGAGCCAGCAGTTTCTCTCCTCCCATCCCTCTCCCTCTCCCTACCTGCTCCCTCTATAGACGTTAGCTTTGGTCAACTTAGAAAATGACTCTTGGGAGGGCTGTGCATGGATTATGCACCTGCTGCATGCTGCCATCTGGTAGCTTGCTAGTTCTCCTGGGCCTGAAGAATGAATTCTGTAGCCTTCTGTTTTGAAAATGGGGAAACTGAGTCCACGGGCCAAGTTGTCAAGCCTGGGAACTTGTGAGGCTTGCCTCGTTACGTATCTCTTTGCTGGAATGAAGTGAGGATGTGTCCTGTTTATCTTTTTGGTTAGTTTAGTTTAGTTTAGTTTGTGTTTTTTTTCAAACAATGGAAATACTGGCTCTGTGTGTCTGTGAGCATATGGGTTAGAAATGATATAAACATCATTCGGACCAAAGGGTGAACAGAAATTGATCGTGCTATTAAAATTGCTGAGAAGTCCAGCAGAGGACTGCAAAGAACAGCTGGATCCAGGGTCAGATGGCGGATGATGTCACCAAGACTTAGGCTTTGCCCCTCCCTCCATGGTGAGGTACGCTGTCAGTGGGTGATGGGAACGGTGTATAATTCCTAATTCTATTCAATGTAAGAGGCCTTTCCTTCCCCACTTGAACCTCATGGAGGATCCGGGTTAGCCCTGCTGGTCCCTTGGGAGTATGATGTATTCTGGCTTCCGGCACACTTTTGACCATAACAGCTGATGGCCCATCTGGTACCACCCGGAGGCAAGAGAGATAAGCACCCTGGAAAGGGGACGTAGCAGCTAGAAGCAGTTGGCCACAGCCATGTGAGGGACACGGTGTGACACATTCCTGTCCGTATCGTCTTCTCTTGGAGGACAACAAAAGCCATGCCTGCCGTAGTCCGTGTTGGACCTCAGCCACTATGCTCTGCCCTCTGTGACCTACCACCCCGTGTCCTCATCATGCCCCTTCTGGCCAACAGAGTTCCCCAGTTCCCTCTGTTGTCTCCTTGTCTGTAGGGGGGATACTAACCGGCCTCTGCCATGCCTCCTTTGGCCTCTCTGCCTCCCTTCTGTTTCCCTTTGCCCTGATGACTATAGCACTGAGTCTTTGCAAGGCTGTGCAATGCCAGTCCCTGTGGGGCTGGTTGACCCCATGAGCAACAATGGTCAAGACAGTGAGGACCCTGAAGGGCAGCAGGGCAGCCTTCTGGAATGTCTTTACTGCTCAGTTATGCAGCTTCCAGCCTACTCCTCTCTCTGGGCCATACAGCCTCATCCTCATCCTCACCGGCAGTCTCTGGGGAGACTGAGCCATAAACACATGATTACCAAAGAAGCTGCAACTCAGACACAGACGTGTCCCAGAGGACTGTACGTGTCCCAGAGGACTGTGAGGGGAGGGGGAGGGGAGGGTGACTCACTGGGCCTCGGGAGACAGCTGCACCCCAGGGATATGATTGATGTGGGGGTGCAGGAGGGGATGAGTAGGAGGGTGTCCTGGAGGGGACACACCTAGTATGACAGTGGGGGAGGGGTCTCTGGTAGGAGTGAGGTTGATGCCCATGACTGCGTCCAAATGATACGGTCTTGTCAGCCTCTGACTATATACTGGGGGCATTGGGAAACCATAGAAAGCTCTTAAGGGACAGAAGGGACACAAGACAACAGATCCGCTGAGGGGCAGAAGGCTGGACATGGTGGGAAATAGCCAGGGAGCCCTGTTTTCTCTGTTGATGCTGGTCCCCACGTACTAGCAGGAGGGCCTTTTGTTTCTGGGGCTAGAGCATCCCTCCCAGGTCAGAGGAGTGAGACACACCAGCCAGATCTGGGCATGTCCCTTTAACCTGGCCATGGCCCTTGGCTGGTGGTAGTGATGACTCTCCCAGGCTGCAGTGGGCTGAGCGACGCGTCAGAGCTCCCCCTGCGGGCTGACAAACCAGGCTGCCCCAGCGTCCTCCACGCTTGCCGCCCCTGCTTGGTGGCTGGCTGCTCAGCCAGAGGCAGGAGCAGCAGAGGAGGGAGAAGACAGGAGAGGAGGCCTCACCAGCTACCGCTGTGATCCGGAGCCTAACTCAGGGAAGCAGCGCAGTCTCCCTTCAGAGAGCTAGGTGGGTGCAGCCTTGCCCCTGCCCACCCCTTGGGTCTCTCTCCTGTTTGTACCTCCATCAGGCCAAGGGAGGTACATTAGGTTGGCCGCCTGTCCCTGCCTCCCCCCTAGACTCCGTAATTGTGTATGGCTCCTCCATCCCCCAGGGCGAGGCCAGAGCTGTTGGTTAGGATCCCTGCTGGGCATTCTGGTCCTCATGCTGTGTGTCATGCTGTGTGTCAGGGAAGTCGAGCCTCAGCTCTGTCTTATTTCTTGAATGACATACTATGTTAGGACCCAGAGCCTAGGTGTTGCCAAGAACAACCTCAGTGGCTAGGGACAGATATTCCTTGCCTCTGGGTGGGAAGGAACCTGGGGAACAGCCAGGTAGGCTAAAGGGTCACAGCCCAGGGGTCGTGGTTCGGTGGAAGTGCCGAGGGCCCGTTGGAGAATGACAGAGGTCTGGGTCTCTGTGTTTTCTCGCCCTCCCATCATCCCCCTCTGTCTCTGTTCATCTTTCCTTCCTCCCTCCCTCCCTCTCTAGCTTTTACTGTTTGCTGCTTCTTTAATGTCTCCTTAGCCTCAGAGCGTCCATCTTCTGTCTTCCTCTATAACACACCCCTGGATTCCTCCTCCGATCCTAGAGTCCTCCCGGTTTGCGTTCTGGCTTACTTAGATCGATAGCCTGTCTTACTGGAAGTCCAGCCCCTGCAGGGGACCTGACTTAGGGGTTCCAGAAAGGCCGAGTGAACCTTTCCTACAGCATGCCTCTTAAGTCGCAGAGTGTAAGCCTCCTGTAGGTGCAGTGGACAAGGTGCCAGTGTCCAGCATTGGGAGCCAGTCAGTGTTCCTGGGCTTTCTGTGTTTACAGTGTGAGGTCCCTAAGCACACGTTAGAGGCTCCGGCAACAACAGAGGCCTGCTAATCTTGTTTTCCCCTTGCCGTCCTCTCGTGAGCTCCAGTGTGAGGAGACCAGCTTCTAAGCACCTACACTGTGTGTGCCCTATTTGAGTCACCTTCCTGGTGGCTTCTGGTTAAGTGCTAAGTGCTAAGAACGACCAGTACTAATAATATGCTGGAGGCAGAAGGTCTATCTACCCTTAAGGAAGAGCAGACAGAGTTCAAGGTGGCTTAAATAAGGAGGGAATGTGGGCCCTCCTTCCTGACAGTGCCTTCCCCCACCTCCCCCCATCCCCCACCCTCACTTCTCATTACCGGGTCTCAAAAGCCCCATGGGAGATGGACAACCGTTCACCCCACATACAAGTAGCTGATAGGGACAGAATGGGTTCCCTTCTTAGTGGAAGAGAGGAGGAGAGAGAGACAGAGGGAGAGCGAGCAGAGAGCAGACAGCAAGTGAGCTTTCCCGGCTGCTCTTTGCTGTTTTTCCTGGAGATTGGTCCAGGAAGCTGAACTTGGGAAACAGTCCCTGCAGGCTCCAGGCTGTTTTTCTCACCTCGCAGACAACGCAACAATGATCTAGAACTTGGCAGCCTCCGCTGAGGAAGTTGGGCAGGCTCGCCTGGAGCCAGCCCTGTGGGAAGGTTATCACCAGGCTCAGGCAAAGAGCCACCAAGAGCCAGCCTGGGGCCACGGGGGTAAGATATGCTGTGGACTCCCTCTGGGGTTTCAGGGGAGTCACCCTCCGGCCACTCACTGTACCTAGTGTTCCCTGGGATCTGAGTTGTCCCGGCTCCTCTCTGTCGCCACCCGGGCTGCAAGGGAACTTCACAGACAGGCTCTCCTGGCTGCGGCACTGCCAGGCAGACTTGTCCTCGGCCAAGAAGCTACCAGGGGAGGCCTGAACTGGGAATCAAGAGTGAGGCCTGGCATCCCCTGCTGAGGGGGATCGCACCTTTGTCACACACTGCCTGGCCCACCTTGCTTTCCTTGCTGGCCAACAAGTGCCACGTTTCTCATTGACTGTTAACGGAAGAGCTGCTCCTCGGGAGCCAGGTACATGGCTTACCTGCTCCCTAGGGGCTACTGGGGCAAGCAGGCTAGGAGGGAGATGGGCCTGGGGTGTGATCTAAGTCTGCTGTGCTAGCCCACTGCCCAGAG